GGGAATCCCCAACAGCATATCCATTTAGAATGGGTCCATGTCGTTAATTAATGCTGCAGTAAGGGAGTAAATAAAGCAGCTCACGTAGTCCTTTGGCATCCATCGGTGAGTCGCGTGTGGTGTGAGGGACGTATCCTTTCTTCACGCACATTATGTAACAAAGCAAGCGAGCCTATATATATGTTTTGCTGTCAAAACCTCGTCTGCGATCGACAGTCTCTCTCTACTTATGCTCTTCCATTCATCATCATCATCAATGCCACGCTTAATTAGCACAAGGCTAGAGTGGATGGGCATGCATGGCTGATGAAGCCTCAGCTTCTTACAAGTTATACAATATTTTTAATCCATTGATGCTGTCGTTATTTCTTGAGCTTTATTATCTCTGAAGAAAAAAATATACATACATATATAATAATACAAAGATGGTATATTATAGAGCTTAAGATAGAACTACTGGTTTTTTGCTTTATTTTAATATTACTATTTATCCTTTTTTCTTTCACTCTCATCCCTCTATCACTTATGTACTCAACTAACTAGTCAAAAAATTATTAATAAATTCAATAAATGTTAATGAATAAGCTCAAATATATTATATTGGACATTAATTCAATTAAAAAATTTAAATTTATCAAATTATATAATAAACTAGCATGTGTCATCCTACTCTCTTTCAATCTTGACCACCGTGACCTATTCTATTGGTCCTCTTTCAATCTCTTACACATATATAAATATTCTCTTAATATTCAAGTATGAAAGATCGATCAAAATTGACCTAATAATAATAATGATATCATGAAAATAATTACATTTATAATAAGAGATCCTAAACAAATAAATTCTTAAATTTTATTTTCTTGATCCATTATAAGGGTACCTGAATATTGTTAGTTTTTTATCCAAATTGAGCATTCTCGTGCAGGTTACACAAACAAATAAACACAAAATACCTGCAGTTTTAAAATTAATCCACTTGTGTGTGAGAGTATGTGTGTATATACAAAATCATATATAAAAATAAACTTAGTAGAAATCATCATATCCCGTATCAAGCAAAAACTTGGTCCAAACACGTTAATCACTTCCATATGGGATAATTTTAGTTAGTAATTAATATAAACTAATCTAAGCAATATTAAGCATGATTATGTTTGAACTTCTTAATAACATAAAGTGATACATGAGCAAACCAATGACACGTCAGTGTGATCCCGACATCAACCTTAATCTAACATGTCATTTGAGAACTACTAACATGAACATGATCATCATAAATAATCACAATGATGGTTCGATGAATGTTATGGTTTGATAGATTAAGATTGACTTATAAGGGTTTGATGTATATAGTGTTATCAATTTTAACTTAAGTATATTAAATAATGATTTAGGCTCAACAAAGTTGATAGATAAGTTATCCTATTAGGGCTGGGTCATGATATTTAGTGTTATAGTTGACCTAGTATTAAGGTATGTTGAGGGGACTCGAGTATGTTAGGACTATCCATGGATTGAGTGACTTGTTATTAGTGTGAAGTCACCATTGGGCTATACCTCACGTGCACCATGCTAGAGTTTGATACGAGATATTTTGAGCCTTGACGAGGATGTGGAGCCCATAAGTAAAAGAGTTTGTAACACTTGGGCAAGACTAAAATTGACTTATTAAAGTTTAATGAGTGTATTACTATTAACTTTAACTTAAGTATTTTGATTAGTATATTTGGGCTTAACGAAGTTGACAGACCAATTATCCCATCAAGTCAGGTCGTGATAATCATAATCGATCGAACAAGCTCTTAAAAGAACCTCAAATCTCTGAATGGTCGTTTTACACCAACCATCAGTTTGGAGGTAAAGAGTTATGCTAAAGTGTCACTTGGGTGAATGGCAAACTTTAACTTATGCACCTTATCTAGCAATTATTACTTCATTAGAAGGCTTTCAAGAATACAGAGTTGATCTAAAATCTGATTGAGCTATCCTATACTTCAACGAACTCTAATTTTAATCCTTGTGCTGAGTCTCTAGCCAAGGTTTATAAATAAGTATTTTCCTTTTTACACTCCTTGATTTTCTCTACTAGGGAAGATTTTACCACCAAACAAGCAAGGAAACCATAAGTTGTCTCCCCCACAAAAATTCTCATGTCCATGAAGCCTTCAATTGTCTGTGACATGAAAATATACTAGTGAGAAATATATCTTATAGACTTTATGATAGAAGATCATGATAGAAGAAATCTATCTCGGAATATGTATAAATACTCATTACCTCAATGAATAAAATTAATCTCTTTCACAATATCTTAATTTTTAATGGTATCAGAGCTCTTCATGCCTCAAGCAAGACTTTCCCTTCCTCATTGTTTGATGATAGCAATCCCTCCTCTCTATTGATTTATCATTATTGATTTGCTAGGCAATACTTCTACTGATTCCGATTGCTTTTTCGACCACACCAAGGATATTCTGCCCCTGATGACACTTGATCGGGCACTCCTACATTATCTATGACATGGTCCTCTCTTCCAACGACCAACTTGCCCTCTCAAACTCCTAGGATGGCGATCTTTATCTCTAGGATCTCTCCATCGATGTCATTGATCCCTTTGTCTCTCTTATCTGCTCTCCTTCTCCCGAGCGAGAATCTCAAGGGTTCCTCCTCCGCCCTCTCCATGTCTCCTCTCTTGGCTACAATGGCCTATACCTCCACACATGCTCTTCCTTCGCTCCCCTCTAGTTAAGGTCCATAGATCCATTCTCTTCCCTTGAGTGCCCACCTCTTCTCCCCTAATCTACCTTATCGTAGTTGTCTTTCCCCCTACCTCCATATGACGACAACAATCTCTCTTCTCTACTAATTATCATTGCTCGATCTCCTCCTCTGCTTAGCAACATCACCCTCTACTGGTTCTCACAGACTTCAACCTATCATCGAGCACTCTTTGACTCGAGTGATCTATGCCTTGAGTGTTCCCCCGTTGCTTTGTTATGGTCACCTGTCAGCTCCACTCGATGACTACATAGTAGTAGGCTTATTGGAAAATCTTGGGTAACATCATATGTGCAGTGGAAGAACAGAAAATAAAAATATTAACATTTCCTGTAGAAAAGAAGGTTTCATCATCATGCAAAGATTGGTATGCAAAAACCTATGAAATTGAAAAATCATACGTGTTAAGGGATGTATGTTACTAGGGAGATCGTATATCCCTGAAATCTTACAGATTTATAATAGAGGATGAAGGAGGTTAACTACCCTCCTCTCTAACGGTGATCCACATGGCAGGGATTATGAAGACGCTCCTCAAATTGCTACACAGATCTCTTCTTTGCACGCACCATGCAACCAAGAAGGGATCATTCCTTCTTGTTGTCCACCCACCCCAAACAGGGGCTGTTGGCTAAGGAGGAGAGGGGAGAGGAGAATAGAAGGTGGTGGCCAAAGGGGTCTAGCCTATGACCTTTTGGTTCTCTTTTATTTAGAGAGGCTCCCTATCAAGTTAACCATAATAGATCTTACTCTATTGGGTGCTGGATCTCCATTCAACTACCCAAGTCTATTATATTAGTGAATCTCTATCCAATAATCTTTCATTAGCTCTTATTAAATCTTATCCATAAGATCTAATAATTCAAGGGCTTATTGGTTATCCAAAAAGATAGGGGTTCTAACGAATATCTCATATCCGAATATTTACTTGTCGCAACACCTACCATATGTGTGTGATCCTCTAGGCCCAATATCGAACTAGCCACAAGTCATACATGTCAGAACTCCTTCTAACTCAGTGAATTATTATCTCCATAATAATTTACTTGACTCATTGATTGTGGATGTACTAAACTACTACGCCACAATCCCTAGACGATATAGGAGAATCCAATCCATTGAACATGTCTATCCTCAATTACTATGTATCTATAGTCCCTCATCCATTTAATATCTCAAAGATTATATTTTGGGCATGGTGCTGTCAGACTCATATGATTTCTACTTGAGTCTTTCTTTAATCAGATTCTCCTAGAGAACTCATTCTCTCTCAATCTAAATGACCTTGGCCAGGTATTTGCATGAGTAAGAATACATTGGATATTCTTCTCATGACATTGAGAGAGGATAATCCTCTATCAACACTTAATATCTCTCGTAAGGTTGGCTGTCACTCCCAATGATCGGTTGTACTAGATCTAGAACTTCTAGGCCTATAAGTATGAAATCAAAGAGTGGAGTACTTATACATGACATCCTAGGTATCTCAAGTCTAAGGACTAGATACACCACTAAAACAACAGAATTATTGTTTGATAATGAAGTATCATCAACCATCTAGCATTCTTTGAGTGGGTCGATCAGTGAACTCATTCTCCAATGAGCACCTGCATTACATCCTTAGTGTCACCACACAAGTAACTATGAGATCAGCTACCTCTATTATATGGATGGGTATATGACACACCAGTTTATCCGGTTATCTCAATGTCCTTCTCGAGTAACCTATGACCGAGATTATTTAGGATCTGTGTTTAAAGGTGAATCGGTCTCATTATTATAATCTCATCATGATCCAATTCCCATTGCACAGATCGATGGACATCATAATATATGCAACATGTAAGATAAAGTGATAAAATATCAAATAATATAAGCAAAAAGAATGTGTATTATGTCACATATGCCATCACATACGTGATTGGCTTACAAGACACCTATGACTAGCAATCTCCCACTTGACCTAAAGCCAATCACCTACGTATTTGATGTCTATCAGACCCTAATGACGCTTAAAGATAATATAAGACAATGGCTTTATTAGTGGATCTACAATTTTATTTTCGGATATAACTTTTTTCATTACTACATCTCCTTGGGCCACAATATCTCTAATCAGGTGAAACCTCCTTAGAACGTACTTAGACTTCTGATGAGACCTTAATTCCTTTGCTCGAGCAATCACTCCATTGTTGTCGCAATATAAGGGAATTAATTCCTTGCTTCTCAGCACAACTCCCAAATCTATGATGAACATCTTCATCCAAACTCCCTCTTTTGCTACCTCTATCATAGTAATATACTCCCCCTTTATGGTTAAGTCAGCTTGCTTGGAACTCTTCCAGCATACAACTCCTTCATTCAGGGTGAAAACATACCCTGAATTAGACTTGCAATTATCGACATCGAACTAAAAACTCGAGTTTGTATAGCCCTTAACCTTAAGGCTACTTCCTCTATATACAAGTAAAAAATTCTTAGTCCTTCTCAAGTACTTAAGGTTACACTTTACTAATTTCTAGTGCTCCAAGCTTGGATTCACCTAATACCTGTTCGTGACACTTAGAGCATGCATTATCTTAGGCTTGGTATATAGTATACATGATAGACCCTTTCACTAAGGCATAGGATATCCTATCTATGTTTGCCCTTTCTTAAGGAGTCTTCGGGGACATGCTCCTAGAAAGCTATATCCCATGTCTTATTGGTATAAGACATCTCTTAGAATTTTCTATGCCAAACCTTTTGACAATGGTGTCTATGTACCTAGACTGAGATAAGTTATGCATCCTTTTGAATCTATCTCTATAGATCTAAATCCCCAAGATATAGAATACTTCCACTAAGTCTTTTATGGAGAAATGTCTAGATAGCTAAGTCTTATTGTGGAGAGTATTCCTACATCATTCCCAATAATCATGATGTCATCCACATATAGTACCAAAAATGTGATAGTACTCTCACTTACCTTCATATACACATAAGGCTAATCTTTGTTCTTAACGAAGTCATAAGATCTGATCGCTTCATCAAATCTTATGCTCCAACTTCGAAAGCTTGCTTTAGTCAATAGATAGACATAAGCAATCTGTACACCTTATTTAGACTTTCTTTGGATATAAATCCCTCAAGCTGTATCATATACACCTCCTCCTCGAGGTTGTCATTGGGGAACGTGATTTTTACATCTATCTATCAAGTCTCATAATTATAGTGTACTACAATAGCCAATAGAATTCAGATGGATTTTAGCATGGCTACGGGTGAGAAGGTCTCGTCACATTCAACACCTTGCCTTTGACGATACCTTTTAGCCACTAGCCTTGCTTTATAGGTCTCTACCTTTCTATTTACTCTGATCTTCTTCTTGAAGATTCATTTACAATTGATAGGTACTATACCCTCAAGTGCATCTATAAAGTTCTAAACCTTGTTGAAGTATATGAAATCCATCTCATAATTCATGGCTTCTTGCCACTTCTTGGAGTCTATACTCGTAATAATCTTATCATAGGTCTGAGGATCAATATCCTCAACTTCTTCTTCTTTGATATGTCCCACATATCTCTCAAGAGGATGAGATACTTGGTCGTACTGATATAAAGTCGGAACTTATATGCTAGGTACCTGAACAGATGGGCTATGGAATGATGCTTAAGCTAGGTTCTCCAACCTCGCTTAGCTTTATCATGCTCCCATTGTCTTCACTAAGAATGTGTTCCTTCTTAAGGAACACTACTCTCTTAGCTACAAAAACCTTTTGGTCCTTTGGGTGAATACCCACAAGTTTCCTTGGGGTATCCCACGAACTTGCACTACTCTATCTTGGATTCCAACTTATCAAGGTTATGTCTCTTAACGTGAGCAGGGCAACCCAAAATCTTAACAATCTTAAGATCAGGTTTCTTCCCTTTCCAAATCTTATATAGTATAGACACTACTGATTTAGTTGGAACTCTGTCTAGAAAGTAAGTTACATACTCTAAGACGTATCCCTAGAATGAGATGGGTAGGTTAGTGAAACTTATCATGAACTGCACCACGTCTAACAATGTGTGATTTCTCCTTTTAGACACACTATTGAGTTGAGGTGTATAAGGAGGTGTCCACTAGGATATAATCTCATGGTCCTTGAGGAATTAGGTGAACTCTGTACTCAAGTACTTACCTCCTCGATTTGATCGAAGAGTCTTAATACCCTTTCTAATCTAGTTCTCTACTTTATTCTTATACTCCCTAAATTTTTTAAAGGCTTTGGACTTGTACTTCATTAAGTGCAACTGTTCGTACCTAGAGAAATCGTTAGTGAAATTAATAAAGTAGGAGTAACCACCTATGGCTTGGATTGACATGAGACCATATACATCGCTATGTATAAAATTCAGTAACTCAATGGTTCTCTTTTCAATTCCACTAAATGGAGAGTTGGTCAGTTTTCCAAGAAGGCAAGGTTTGCAAGTTGCATATTACTTATAGTTGAATGGATCTAAGTATCCATCATTTAGTAAATTTTGAATCTTTCTCTTATGGATATGATCTAGCCTACAATGCCACATATATGAATTGTTCACTTCATCTCGTTTCCTTTTGGAGACACTTATATTCATAATATGTAGAGTAGTGTCTAGCATAAATAAACCATTATACAATGTTCCTCTAGTGATGATTTTATCATCTAACATTACTGAACAACCATTATTCTAAAAAACTAATTTATATCTATTAACAAATGAAAATAATATTTTTGATAATAGAAGGAATAAAATAACATGCATCCAATGCAATAGTAGCTCCACCAAGTAGATGTAAGGTGACCTCGCCAATAGCTACTATAGCAACTTTTGCTCCATTTCCCATCTTGAGGTTCATCTCACCTCTAGCCAATCTCTTAGGTTTTGCCAGAACCTGCAATGAATTACAAATGTGATAAGCACTATTGATATCCAATACCCATGTATTATCATAAGAGCCTGACAAATAGAGACTGATTATGAATGTACCTAAAGCTTCTCCAAGCTTCTGTTTCGCCTTCTCTACTATTAGGATCAAGAGCGGCACTAGGGGGGGAGGGTGTGTAAATTAGTACAGCGAAAAAAAGCGTTGATTTCGATTCAATCCATTTCGAAAAGATATTGAACTTAAAAGCTTTCGTAAGAGTGCAAAGAGAAGGTTAAGGAAGTTTACAGTAATGTAAATTGCACAAATAGAAAAGCAAACTAGAATTTAGAGTGGTTCGATCATTGTGACCTACATCCACTTCCGATTTCTCCTCTATCGAGGTCACTAGCTGATAAGACCCTAAAGTCTTATCGTCGCTCTGATACCAATTGATAAGACCCTAAGGTCTTATCGTGGAAGAAAGTGGAGAAAATGGAATGATAATGATCGCTTCGAGGGGATCGGCCTTCTTGATCGCTTCGAGGGGATCGATCCTCCTTGATCACTTCGAGGGGATCGACCCTCCTTGATCACTTTGAGGGGATGACCTCCTAGAGTTTGTCCACAGAGTGGAATAACATTTCATTGATTGATTTAAAGAAAGGGTTACATCACTATTTATAGAGTTCCACCTAGAGTCCACTTGGACTTGGACTCTTAATAATAAATAAATATTAAATAAATCTCTATCCGACTCTAACTGAAATAAATAGACTAAATAAACAACTAGACTAAATAGACTCAATAAACATTATTCAAAAGCTCAGAAAAAGGGTCCTAACACTGGCGTCCATTAATGGTCTTCCTTCAATAGGCGAAGACCAACCACCTTTTATAACTCTTTCTCCTTTTTACGGGTTGAAGAGAGAACCCTTACAAACCTCACACATCTCTTGAATGATCTCAACACTTAGAAAGGGAGGCGGAGGACCCTTGCACTTTTTTAACACTTCAAAGATTCAAGATTATGCTAATACTTTCGTACCCTTTCATTAGAAAAAGGTGGGGTATTTATAGGCCCTAATGACTTCAAAATTGGAGCAAAAAAGTATCATATCCTCGGATTTCGGGATACTAGTGATACCATTGCCATTATTGAGTAGTACCATCACCTGACACCTGATACTGGGTGGAACTACCGCCTAGTCTGACGGTGCCACCGCTTGACAAGGGCGGTACCACCGTTGATAGCATTTACTACCGGTGGTACCACCACCAAGTTTGGGTGGTACCACTGCCCAAACCACTTGGGATACTGGGTCACCAGGTGGTGCCATCGCCGGCCCTGACGGTGCCACCGTCGGTCATGATTTCAAGTGCTAAATAGGCTGTTCAATCTGGCCTAATTCAGCCCTGTTAAGGGCCCAGTTGGCCCCTAACTGAGTTAGTGGGATCATCTCCCAGTCATAACTCAATCTACTATCTAACTACAATAATTAAGACATTTAATAAAGCATTCTAGTTCTGATATGTCAATTGTTCTTTCGGCGAGCTTCCGACGATCTTTCGGTGAACTTTTGACGATCTCTCGGTAATATTCCAGCGGACTTCCGGTAATTTCCTAAACTTCACAATGATATTCTTGGCGAGTTCCAATGAGCTTCTTTGGCAAGCTCCTGGACTTCTTGGTTGGTTCTGGTAGAACTTTCGACGAACGTCCGGACTTTCGACAAACTCTCGAACTCCCAACGAAATCTCGATCTTGACTCCGACACAACATTTGCTTTATGTCTTACTATTATCATAGTTAATCTTGCACAATTTTCTCAATATATAGATTTAGATCAAATAATTTACTAATTGATTTCATCATCAAAATCTGATATTCAATATCTATAAGATACTCTTTGTAGTTCCTCTTATAATGCCTATCTTTGCTGTAGTGAAAGCAATGACCTTTGTTCTTTGTCGTGTCCTTTTTAGCAACCTTTGTTTTACCAAGTTTGCCTTTGCCCTTGCCATTCTTAAGAGACTTCTCTACCTTCTTTTTCTTTCTGGTCTCACTAACATAGAGAACTGGTTTCTCTTTCTTGATGGTGCCCTCAACCTCCCTTAACATATTGAGGAGCTCAAGGAGAGTCACCTCAAGCTTGCTCATATTAAAATTCATGATGAATTGAAAAAATGAATATAGTAGGAACTGAAGCGCAAGATCCACATATAAGTTATCCTCTAGGACCATTCCTAGACCCATAAGTTCCTCTATCCACTCAATCATCTTAAGGGCATGGTTATGAATCGGTGTCCCCTTAGTCATCCTAGTATGAAAGAGACTCTTAGATATCTCATATCACTGAGACCTTCCCTGTTTCTCAAATAATTTATAAAGAGGCTAGATAATGGATTTGACATCCATTTTTTCATGTTGTCTTTGTAACTCGGGAGTCATAGAGCCCAACATGTAATATTGAGAAAGAGTGGAGGCATCTATGTACTTCACGTAATGAGCAATCTCATCCTTGCTTGCCCCTTCCTCAATCGTAGTTATCACTATATCAAGGATGTACATGATCTTCTTCGACATGAGAATGATTCTCAGGTTATTGAGCCAATCTGTGTAATTTGGACCAATAAGGCTGTTGACATCAAGTATGCCACGTAAGGGACTTGAAAGTGATATTTTTTTAAATAAATATATAGTAGAAATAATTAACATGCATATTTTGTAAAAAGTAAACAATCAAGATAAGGACTTCTATCTTAACTTACTCCCACTATTTTCTCGTGAAACTTACAACTCCTTCTAGTATGTGAATCGAAGACCCCCGACAGATCTCTAGTGGGGATTGGGAACTAATTGGTGTCTTAACATAACCTCGAGGCACTCGACCAATCACGCTAAGCCTGAAAAGGTAGGCAACTCTTATCGATCATAATTCTTTATGATTCCCATCCTGTTTGGCCTTCGAACCACCATAGTCTCGAGAGACTCGACTAACCATGATGTTTAGTTAAGTCATCACCATCATTATAAGATGAGTCTGATTCAATGATATGCCCTCGAGGGACTCGACCAAGCATACCACGTCCTTAGGTCACCAATTACATATGTTGTAGGTAAGATATCGAATTGCGATATAGGTGAGTCTCGAGGGACTCGACCAACTCAACTTATGTCGGGAATCGATTTTTCTCTATAACAATGGAAGGCCATGTGGGTCAATCTAATTGCTTCATATTTACCAACTTAATATTATCGAGAGAGAAGATTTTGATTTGGTCTCCTATGATGTGTCACATATATACATATTTAATATATATCTACATCGCATGCAAAT